AATTGTTGATAACAAAAACACTACGCATTTCATTTTATTTGGGTCAAAATTGATGAGAAATTTAAAACGATGAAGTAGGTCTCATTAACCCAAGCCCACTCTACAGCATTGACGAGAGTTATCTGGGCCGCAGACCCAAAGTATAAGTTTGGGCAGATAAACTTTGTAGCCCAATTAACAAAAGTAAAAGTCCAATAGAAGCAGCTGGCTGCATTGTTTGGGTCAACTTTGGGTTCCAATCAACTGGTTTAAAATTTCTTCGATACGTTGGATATATCCGTGAAATATCGAAAATATCAAACAAAGATGTGGAAATGGGTGGTGGAAATGGGTCAACTTTGTGACCTTTATTGTTTTCTTAGAGACCAAAGATTGTATGTATTTATATTCAAAGTTATGAAATACATGAAAATTAACCCATATAATTTTATTTGGTATCAGAGTAGACTGCCATATTTTTAGCAAACTTCTATCATTTCCATCAAAGACAAGTGATATCAATATAACCTCCAATATTTCCACAAATTTATATATAAATATTTTCACTGATACCGATATTTTAAATACTAATATAAGATTTAGGGTTTGAACTCCTAAACATGAATAGCTAACATCAGCGGGATTAGGATTAGACACCAATTAAACATGAAGACCCCACCAATAATTAAATTTCTTTGAGGCATAATTTGACTAGCCAACCACATATGAAAATTCTTTAGCAGATAAATATGAAATAGCCCTCACTCACTCAAAAACCCAACACCTAACACCCAAAACTCACGTTAAGGATTTTTCGTAGTTTGTTCCACCTGAGATGACAACAAGATAAAAATTTAACATCTTATCATGGGTGGGGTTCACCTTCTTTTTTTTATTTATTTTTTTATTTATTTAAATTTTTTATAGAAACACCTACTTTTCTTTTGAACAAAAAGGAAACACCAACCAAACCAAGGATGTGCATTATCAAAAGATCATTTGACACATAAATTTACCCATCACAATTTTTCTAGTCTGAACTATTGAATGGTTCGAAAAATAAATGGTAAAGAGGGATTTCAAAAGTTTGACGGAATGTAGAATAATCATTGGGTGCAAAATCTTGCATTTATTAAAGAATGAATTCAACCATCAACTTTCATCTAATATGATTTCTAAAATATAGTCTAAAAAATGGTCTCTCTACTCACACATACTATAATTGATATCCATGTGATGTTTTTTTTATTTTTTTATTTTTTTTATTTTTTTTTTATTTTAAAACTCAAAGTGCATTACCAGAGAAACCGCCAAAGCATGCAAAAAAAAAAAAAAAAATCCATACAAAAGACTAACCTAGGAGAAAAAACCGACTATTCCTACAAAGAAAAAAAGTGCTAGGGGGATACTAGGAGATAGACACTGCAACGTAGGCTAAGGCGTCTCCTCACAAACACCATAAAAAAACCTTAAGGGTGTGTACAAGCGAAGATGCAGGTCTATTCACACAAATATAAACGCTCATCTCCCCCTTTCTACGCGACTAATATATTATTTCCAAATCTGATAAACTATATGTCATGTAAATGACAAAAATGTTGTGATTAAATCATGAGTAATAAAAGTATAGACTACAGAGTCAGCTTAAGCCTTTTATATTATGTCGTTCATACCACAAACCACAGACATATTTGCATTTAGTCGTTGGCTTCCATGTTTACCTTTAAAGAAAGAGCTGAAAATTCAGAGGGAGGTTGGTGTGGGTGAAGCAGTTTTAGGACCAAAGGATGCACAAGTTTGGTTCCTGCCTTTGTGAAAGGCTGTGACAGAGAATTTGGCAATTGGAGCATCTGATTCTAACATGTCCCAATCCTCTTAACCCAGAATTTCTTTTCTTCAAATGGTTGGAAAGAATATATAAAACAAAGTCATTTTTTGAGACCTAATGCTACAACTTTGTACACTCCAAGAAAGTATCTTATGCATGAGTTACTTCAATATGACTTTCACGCACTAGAGAAACGTGCTTAGATCAGAGTTGTTACTGTGTCGGTTTTTTCAAGTCAATCACACATATTGCATGCATTTTACTTGTTTTCACATGACAATGTTTGATTAATTCGAAATACGATGAAGATAGCATTTTTTGCTGAGAAAAGTGATATTCACACACTCATTTTTACATTTCCTGCACATTTGTTAATTTTTAGTTATTGATCTTCTTCAATTCATTAGATTTGACGGCCAGAAATTAAAAAAAATGTGTGAGAAACAAAGTGTCGAAAGCACTACCCTCTCGCTGAAAGGAATTTAGAGCATCACCTTGCATACCCTAACGAGTTTTTATATTCAAAGAGAGCATATTATAGAGCTACTTCTCAATGACAAAGAAGCATAACTCAACTGGAAATATCACTATCAGTGTGTCGGTATCTCAAATCAATCTCACGCTGCATGCTTTAATGAATTTGAAGTTCAATACCTCACATACCCTGAAGATTTTGTAAAACATTAAGTGAAAGAGTAAAATACGAGAGGACCTTTCTCCGTAGTGTTCTGCAGAATGCAGCCCCCATTGATTCAAGAGGATGGCCGAGGGTCCAACACCACACAAAACCAATTTTACAAGTCAAAGCTTTAGTCTTTAAGCAGAAGAAGCGTGCCCCATCTGCACCCCAAGGCTTTTGCCTTGCAAAGAACCCCAATTCTCTGACTTCTCTCTCTGCAAAAGCAAAGTTAAAGCCATTGGAGTCTTTTCTTTTTGGCCTTTTCTCTTTCATTTTTCTTTCTCTTTTTTCTCTTTTGTCTTGTTCTTTTTGGAAATCTCGTCACCGTCCTCCATGCCAAAAATCCAATGCCGAAGAAGGAATTAAGATCTTTTTCAGATCTCGCAATCCAGAAGTTGATAGATCAAAAAATTTATACCGTTTAAGAGAGGAAAAGGAGGAAAAATTTGGACCCTTAATTTGTGAGAGGTGGACCAATGAGATAGGCTAACGATGATTGTAAAATTTAAAAAGAGTAATTCGAATTTTTCAATCTATCTTTCACGATCCATCGACTTCAGACCGCAAAATATGTAGAGGATCTCGATTCTAGAAGTTGGACTTGTTAGATTGGGAACTACACCCTGTACTCAATTCACCATCACGCTCTTCTCCAAAAAAGTCCCAAAAAGATCATTTAACCAAGCTCGTTTCACTTTACCTTTTTTTTTCCACAAGAAAAACAGATCATTTGACCAAGTCTATTTATAACTTTCCCACACTTTTGAGTTAGTTTTTCTTCTTTTCTTTTGGTCAAGTTTATCTTCATGAAATAAAATTAAAACCAAATTCAAATGCTTTATTTACATTGTAAAGGATTTATAACTTAGTTGTTTTATGGTGTTAACTTTTCACTGTTTTTTGTTCGGTTTTCTCATTAAGTTGATGAACTTTGTTCTTTTTATACAAGCGATGCTCTACTAGAAAGTAACATGAGTTACGAAAGTATAAAAACTTGTGTTTTATTTTTCCTTTTAAGTTGACTAGCTATTATCCACAAGTTTGTTTTGTCCCTAAAGTTTGACTAGCTATTATCCACTATGCCAAAAAAGATATTAAGATACATTTATTTTAGTCAATATAATTATGCTCACGTCTAGGAAACGATGGACTATAGTTCTTTGAAACAAAACAACTAAAAAGAAAAGGGGGAATATTGAATTTTTGGCTTGGGGGGAAGTATAGAGGGATTCGTGTCCTCGTATGTGAAACAAACAACAAAATCAACGCGTTCTGCAAATCAAAGTTCAAAGTCACGATGAGACGACGAGCGCAAGGGACCGGCGAGTGGGGGACAGCCATTGGATGAGAGAAAACCTCTGCATCATCTCATCGTCTGAAATAAAACCTGCATTGTTTCGTAAAACAGTGTATGAATCTTTACATACATGTATAACCTTCATTGTCACGTGGTGTCTCGTCTATAAATTTGTAGATACAATTATAATTTATATATGTTTATTTCATTAACAAGTATCTTCACCGTGTTAATTGTAGTTATTAGGGGTGGAAAAAATTCCCAAAAATCCCGAACCGAACCGAAAAAATCCCGATCCCAAACCAAAAATTTCCCAAACCGAAATTCCCGAAAGTTTCGGGATGCTATCCTGAACCGATCCCAAAATTTCGGTATGGGATTCGGGATTGGCTTCTCGATATTTCGGGAATCCCATACCGAACCGAAAATATATAATATTAATTATTATATATATATTATTCTTTTATAATTGATGCTAGTAGTTTCTAATTCATGCTCTGCAACCTGGAATGCCCTACACTTTGCATATTTTTCATGTTTTGTTTGATATTTATGTGGATTTTATTATTGCTGCTGCCATGGCTGATGATTTTAGAAGGCTTGATTCTTTTGTCTCTCAACATATTGCAAAAAGGGTTTAATTAATTTGAATTTTGACTATGATAAAAACAGTCAGGCATGTCAGTGTTCAATTAAATGGTAGTGTGAATGAAATGAAATTCCTAGTTCATGAATGTGTTCTTGAATTATATATTTGAAGAACAATTCATAATTTCATATTTCAATTTGGGATTCCCGATTTGTCCCAAAATCCCGAAAATATTTCGGGATTCCCGAAATTTGGGATTCCCGAAAATTTGGTTTGGGATTGGTCTTCAAATTCCCGTCCCGAAAAATTTTGGTTTGGAATTCGGGATACTAGTTTCGGTATGGTATCCCATACCGAACCACCCCTAGTAGTTATCTAAGGATTCGTTTGACAAATATTTTTAAATGATTGAAAACGATTTAAAAAAAACACATTTTGATATTCCCAAAACAATTAAAATATCTGAAAGAATCACTTTTTATATTTTTCTCGTAAGAAACAACTTAAATATTTTTTTAGAATTAAATTACATTTTTACTAAAAATTTATTTAAGAACTTTCAATTATTTAGAAGCAATTCCCACACAAAAACAAAAGCAATCTCTCTCTCTCTCTCTCCAGGGAGAAAAAAGCAAAAGAAAAGCTTGTTAAAAGCTTGTTTTCCCTCTCTCTCTCTCCCCCCTCTGTTTTCGATGCTGCAGACGTAACGCCATAAAACGAAGTGAAATTTTCGATAAATCTCCTGTTTGTTTCACTCATTTCCTCACGTTACTCCCTCCTGTCACTCCTTCCTCGTATAAAACCCCTCAAAACCCCGCCGTTTCCTTAACCCCTCTCCACTCCCTCCTCCCAACTCCCTCCCTTCTCTCTCCTCCATAGCCATGGCAACTTTGTACTTCCTCAAGTTCTGGAAGCCCAATTCCTCCACCGGCACACCTTCAAATCCTTCCGTTGCAAAAGACAACGAGGTCGAAGAGGAAGAGGAAGATTCTTTCTTCGACTTGGAATTAAGTTTTGATATCATCCAAAGTTCACAAGAAAACAACATCCTCGACTCCAAACCAAAACCAAACACCTCCGACAAAACGGCCGGCGGCAAACCAACCCTTTCTCTGTCCGCTTCCGATCCCATTTCCAAAAGAAAAATCCTCCCTATTGAGCCAGTTTCCAGGCCTCCTCAGTCACCCATCGCTCTCCTAAAATCCGCCCCAAAGTTCGGAGCTTTAAAGTTCAAAAATCCCAGACAGAAAACAGATCAAAAAACAGGGGAAAAAGCTGAGTCCGAGGTTTCGATGGAGTCCCAGAAGCAGAAAATCAAAGGAGTAATTGCGAAACAGCTCGCCGGAGAAGAAGCTCAAAACCCACCTAAGCTCACCCGAGAAAACAGCTCCAGGAGAAACGGAATGGGATTGCAGAATCTGAAGCCGGAAGACTCGAAAACAGAGAGATTTTCTAAGGATGTTCTGCAGAAGTACCTTAATCTAATCAAACCTCTGTACTCCAAGGTTTCCAGGAGGTCTACTGAGAAGGTGAAGCCTGCCGGAGACTCACCGACGGCGTCTCCGGCGATGCCGATATTCTCTATGTGTTCGCCGAAGAAGGACAAGCAGGGGAACTTTCCGGCGGGATTTAGAGTTGTCTGTAAGAACTTGGGGAAGAGCAAGTCTGCCACGGTGATGGTGGCGCCGCCGGTGCAACGGAGGGACGATTCCTTGCTGCTGCACAACGATGGGATTCAGAGCGCCATTCTACATTGCAAGAGATCGTTCAGTTCTAGAGGTACTGAGAGTTTCAAACCTTTCAAATTTTAAACATTTGTTTAATCTATTATTTGATGTTTATGAATTAATTTCGATTTTTAATTTGGTTTCAGATTCTTTGTCTTCACTGTCGCGATCAACCAGTGATTCTTCCTCCATGAGATCATATTCTACTGGTAAACATCAGTCTCCTCCTTTTTATTTAACCAATCAAAGCGAAGAAATTCAAATTCCAAATTTATTTTAATGGAAATTTACAGAAAATCTTCACAATTTTTTTTACAGATTCTTCTCTGTTATCACGGATTGCAAGTGATTCCCATGAAAAATCCGCGAGAATGTCGATCGAAGAAGAAATTTGAAGCTCTGTTCGTCGGATTTTAATGGATAAAACGCGGGAAAAACAGAGGAACTTTATGACCCTCTGTTATTTTCTGTGTTTTCTGTAAAAACAAAGGAAGAAACGAAAACGAAAATATGAGGTTAGGTTAGGGTTGTTTTGGTATTTTAACTACAAGCGTTTGAGCTATGATGGCCGGTGAGCACAGCATATAGGGTTCACCTGTTGTTGTCTGTACAGTGACGTGTCATGATCTGAGAATTTTAGGGATCCTTTTTGGTTTAGGGTTTTTTACACTGAAGCAAGCAGCATCATGTTGCTTTTGAATTGAATTTGTGAGAGAAAATGGTGTTTTAAATCAATCAGAAAGATATGTGACATTGTCTTCTGGGTTGAGAGATCTTGATTTGACTCAACAAGTTTTTGCATCTTTCATTTTATTGGTTTTGTATGGGGATTCCACTTTCCAGGAGAAATTGACAGATGATGGAATCAGATGCTTGTTCTTCAATTACTCATAAAAACTGGTAATTGGAAATCAACTTTGGTTGTTGCCTGTAAATTGTCTGGTTATTGAACGGGGATAAGGGTTGTTAGCCCTCTCACTTTTGGTGTCCTTCTTGTCCTCTTATTTATGTGATCACGGTTAAGCCACGTTAACATTTTATATTATTATTTATTTTTGTTTTATTATTTCTATATAAAAAAAAAAAATATTGACGTGGTTTAACCGTGATCACATAAAACAAGAGGGCACGAAAGAGCACCGAAAATGAAAGAGCAAACAATCATCGTCCATTAAACAGAGGTTCATTTTCTTAATATGCCATTGATAAAGTCTCGATATTAATGTTTTTAAGATGGGATGCAAGGAAATTTTGCATGTAAGTAAAAAAATGAGATCTTATAAGTAAATTGGTATTGGATGAAATTTCAATTTTCTTTACGAGATATATATGTGTGAAGCTCAATAGCTGTATATGTTACGAAACAAATTTGAATTTGTGAAAGAGGATTTATGATCATCACCAACCTGGAGAAAAATTGGTTAATTCGATTCCAACTGCATTTCTGCTTTTTGTAAATATAAAGTGCTTTTGGATTGCAAAAGAAGCATTTTATTTGGTTTTATTAAAATCTGATTTCGTTTCAAAGTGAACAACAGAAAAGCAGTCAGAAGGTGGCAGATGCTCTCTCTCTCTCTCTCTCTCTCTCTCTCTCTCTCCCAGTCTCTCTGACCACCCATCCCATCTGGTTATGGTCGCTAGGTTGGATGGACAGATTTTATTCAACTTTTGACTGCTTGTTGCAGCACCAGCAGGGGAGGAAGGAACTGCTAAAAAAGGTCGCATGTATTTTTTCCTCTTCTAATTACAAATTACCCCTCCACTTTCCAAAATATTTGCATTTTACTGTATTTCTTCCTTCCTATATGCTATGCTAATAGTTTTATTGGAAACTAACGAAAATGATTTGAAAATTTTGAGTTTTAATAAAAATGTCAAAATAAATGGTGAAGTGAATAGTATCAGGATTGACTTTTTAGTGTAAAAATATGATTTTTCGTTAAAATTCCCTAGTTTTATTTGTTTTAGTTATAATGAAAAGAATTGAATTGTCTGTCATAATTTTTAAATTTTATAGTATTACTCCACTCAAAGGCAGATGTATGTTGTAACTAAGGTGGTCTTACCCAGAGTGCGATTAATATACATATGAAAGTCTTCTGATGACCATTTGATTGTTTGGTATGAGTTTCTTTGGTGCCCATCCAATGTTTGATGTAATGTCTACTAACATATGTTGACATCACTCAATAGGTTGCGTTAAGAGTACTTGACAAATTCTCTCGATAGCACTCATTAGATTGTTTTGGCATATGTCGATATTTGTTTACATGTGCACAACATAGTTTGACTGACAACAACACACCCACCATGTATTCAACGAAATACCTTGGTGTATAAAGGGAAATTTTTTTGCACGCTTCGCACTCCATGTCTATCCAAAAAACTCAAGACCTTGACACTAGAATCCCCAATATTCAAATTCTGAATCCGTCACTAACTCCACTCTCCTCGCACCATTACAGCTAACTCTAAGAGCTTCTGTACGTTTAGATTTTGTCTAAATTGAGGAATATAGAAATTAATATTAGAATCCATGATCGAAATTATAACAAACCTTAAAATTTATATAAAATGATATCTGTAAATCAAAGGAACAAGGCATGCACTTGCACTGCAGTTCAAACACATAATTATGATGAGCAAGAAATGCCAAGAAAGACACCAAAATTTGTGGCCCCAAAATCCCATTTGAGACATGAATGCAAACTTCACGGCGAACCACATTGCAGACCTGCCAAAGAAGAAAAAATGACAAACAACAAAACCACATATCTCGGGGCACCAATTGAGACCATTATCAAGGGGAGCTGTATGACTGAATGGGACTGAAGTGGAAGTGTTCCTTTGGCCATTATATGAACTTGGAAATTTGAAATTATAAGTCACAAGTTTGGTGACTGGATGAAATGAGGACGATAAGGTGTCAAACTATTCATGCCATATCATGTGGAATGCTAAAATTTATGACAAGAGATCATCACCTTTAACGTCTCTTTTTTCTTATAAGTCATTCTCGATCGGCAGATTCTACTTTAATTAAATTATATTTTGAGTTGTCTTCGACTCACCAAACTTGTTCCACTGAATGAACCATGCATCTGCAAAAGAGGATAAATCATGAACTTTTTCATTTTTTTTTTCAACGGGATACAAAGTATAGCTGGTTTTGCATTTAGAGTTTAGACCGACTAAATTTGTATTTTATGAAAGAGTTTAGTTTATAGATAACACGTATAATCAAAGATGGGAGGTCGATGCAAATTTTTTTTTTGATATAACCACATCTGATGGTAGCACAACTATTAATATTAGCAATAGAGATAATGTCACGTAGCTATGTACAAGCTGAGCTAACATAACTCTTATAAATTTATATTATGGTTCAATAACGCTCAAAACAATGTGAACAAAACACAATACAACACACCACAATCGATTTTTAGATGTGTTTCTTGATACTATTACAATCAGAGCTATTTCATGTTCTACCGAGACAACATACTTCCCCCCCCCCCCCCCCCCCAAAAATCCTTGCAAAGCAGGAAGCCTTGTCAGCTTGGAGTTGTCCCTATATTACTCCTAATTTCCGAAGTCAGAACAAAAAATTTGATAAGCCGAGGCAAAGGCTGCCGTTCACTGCATTTGCACAAGTTGGAGCAGCAAAAAGACATGACTTAGTTTCAAGTGTTTCAATCAAGAAATGTGATTAATTATATGCAGATGAATGCAATGCACCAAGAAACACCACACAAACAAACACCCGACCCGACGCCATATTTTCATCCGAGGACAATTAGACTTGCTGCGTTTCCTCCACGGATATTGTCATATGCATCCGCGTCCGTTGCTGAATCTGTCTCAATCATCGGCGAGATTTTTGGAACGTTTAAACAATATGATAACACTATCCACCGTGTCAAAATACTGGCTCATGCTTTAGAAGGAAGCAATCGTTTTTTGGTCGGTAATCACTGTTTTAGATGTGCGCATAAATATTTCTGTTTGTATCCTAAGTGAGTTTTGTATACGGATCAATTGTGGTTTGCAGAAGGAACTCGTTTCAATAAAGGAACCAAGTGCAAGCAAAGTTGTACTGAATAACCATGAACCGGTTGAAGTCAAGAATGAAAATAGCAAATTATGAGCTCGTTTGGATGTGCTTTTAAAATGATTGAAAATGTTTTTAGAGAAAATATTTTTGGGTTTCAAAAACACTTAATTGATTTCTACAATAAGCACTAGTTATGTGCTTATTCTAGGAAACACTTTAAGTGCTTTTTCAGGATTTACTAACATTTTTACTAAGGATTGTTTCAAAAAATATTTTCACCAGAAGCGCTTTAAGCCATTTTAAAAGCACATCCAAACGAACTCTATGTTCCCGACAACCCAAACTATTAGGCCCTAACAATTATTTTTTTCCTTATATGTATGAATTGTGATTTACACACGGAAGAATGACTCGTTTAAAGGAACCAAGCACAAGCAAAACTCTACTGAATAACCATGAATTGGATGAAGTCAAGAATATAAATGGCGGGTTGTGTGCCCGAAAGCCCAAACTCTTGGACCCTAACAATTAATTTTCTTTTTTTTTTTATTGAAAGGCCCATAAGACCACGAGCCCATTGGAGAGGTACATAGGGCTGAATTCTTTTATTTGGGTTACGTCATGGGTTCAATCAAAGTCCAAATTATATTCAGATAAAGATCTTTGACTCACTTTTAATCGTACTGATAATACCTCAACTTAAACACATTACTAGATGTTGAATTCTAACACAAAAGACCTCAATGTAATTAGAAGTGGCACCATATACTATAGATTGTATTTTCTCAATTTCCCGATATGGGACTTACATTAATTAACACCTCAAATCACTAATCACAACAAAGAATACTACATAGGAAACTTTATGACCGACTATAATGTATGTATAGCAGCAAAATGTCTTATATCTCACAATACAAGAATAAAAATTAAAAATGAAATAAAAAATATACGTATGAAATATCATTTGCAGACAATATTTTGGATCGACCGCGTAGCAAGAACGATGTCCATGGTGCAGTTCATATGAGCAGACCTCTTCTTCTTGATCACCTTCATCAAATGTATCTTCCCCTCCAACCTAGAAGTGGACGTAATCGGGATAATCCCCAAGCTAATATCACTCGCTAATTGAGAAGTAGCGTTCAACCCATTCGAACTTAGGTCCAGAGAGGCCTCGACCTTTCTAGTCGATCGAGCCTTGGCACGTTCCTCGTACACATTGGTCTGTCCAATTTTTGTCCCCCTATAATCAAACTCAACAATTCCATCTTCGTACTTGAAGTGTCCAAAGTTGGTGTTCTTCACACCAAACTGAACATCCATTTCTAGGTTAAATGAAGGGTTCGTGACACTGTCAACTTCGTACTGACTAAGGGAGGCTGATCGAACCCGGAACTTAGGGCTTTTTATTTTCATGACGGTGAGTGCAAAGACTGCGATAACTACAACTTGGAGCACAGCAAATACAACAACGTATAGTAGGCACCTCATGCGCTTGTTTCTTTTCATCTCGGCGGGGTCTGCTGTGACGGCAGATTCTTGGTCGCTCCGAGTGTAGCTGTTTGCCAGGGGTGCCGAGGGAGGGGGAGATGTTGCTTCTTTCTCAGCTGCCATTTTAATTTCTTTCAATTTGTAGCTTCCCAAAGTTTTTGTTTTATGGTTTTCTGTTTTCTAGTGTTTCTGTATATTTGTTTGGTGAGTGGAAGATAGATAATG